CGTGGTTGTTATTCCGTCAGGTTCTGACGCTTGGCAAAACTTCAGAAAATGTATGGCTTTTTGTATGCATATGTGCATGTAAACATTGGTTATATGTGTTTTGTGCTCAGTGTATTCAATTCAGTGTATTTTTTGTCATAAGTTTGACAGTTACTTAGATTGGAGATTGGTATCTTGCTATTATCATGAACCCTTTAATGGATTGGGTTTAGTTTTTCCGAGAGAATGGCAGGATCTTACAAGATTTTGAAGGTATGTTTGATACAGGACACCTAGCACCCTGAGTTGAGAGAGTTAAGTCATAACGTAGACGTGCCTGTTTGAGGTCACGTTTATGTCTCAGGACACCAAGTTGTGTGAGGGTCTGAGGACTTACTTGAAGACAACTTGTAAAATGATCAAGATACATTTTTTAATTTTCCCATATCTGTCATTAGGGGTCTCCAGGGAGACAGAACCAACAGGATCTATATCTGTATATGTTTGTTTCTATCTCAGTATCTATATCTGAAGAAATTTAGTATAAAGGATTGACTCACTTGATTATGGAGACTGACGAGTTCAAAATCTGCAGAGCTGGTGTCCCAGTTTGAGTCCAAAGGGCATCAGGCTGGACGAGCCAGTGTTCCAGTTTAAAAGCCATCAAGCAGGAGAATTCTCTTTCTTGGGAAGAAGGTCAGCCTTTTGTTCTGTTCAGCCTTTCAACTGATGGGACAAGGCCCACACACATTCGGAAGGCCAGTCTGCTCTGCTCAGTCTACTGATCTAAATGTTAATCGTATCTGAAAACACCTTCAGAAACTCACTAGGAATGATGTTTGACGGATACCCGAGTACCCTGCGGTCCCTTCAAGTTGATGCATAAAATTAACCATCACAGGTCCACCTCTTGTCATGTTGGCACCCGTACTCATCATCTCCTTAACCCATACGTAATCTCCAAATAAAGACAAGAACAAGATCATCATTCTGGCTAACAGGACAACAGCTGTCCTGCATATAACCAAAAATGCACTAACGGTTTCCCCAAAAAGGAAGTGAGGTCCTTGAGTTTACTCTTTTCCTTGATTTCCCACGGTGGAGATGCCGTGATACACACTGTGTCTTTTGGTGACGTGATACGGGGGTGAGAGAGGCAAGGCGGCAAAGACATTTGCTTAGTGTTTACTAATAGGTATGCACAGACGTATTCATAGCAGGATGAGGAGGAGATACCCACCGCAGTGACAGTCCTCATTTCTCTAATGGGGCGCTTGGCCATCCGTAGCGGTATTTATGACTCCATTGCATACTTCCTTTCCCTTCAGCAGGCACCTCCGCTGGCTGTGGTCTGTACACCTGGTGAGGTGCAAGTTAGAAAGTACTCGGTAGCACATTTGGTTATGTTAACATGAGTTGTTAAAACTTCTTTCTAAAATATAAATGTATATATTCTGTTCAACCTCAAAAATAATCCATAGTGCATACTCATTGTAAGAATTGGGAAAATATAAATGAGGTGAGAGGAGGAGGGGGTCAGCCTTGGTCTTGCCACCAGTTGAAAGCCTGCTGTTAACGTTTTTTAGATGTTATAGTTATGGTGTGTACATGTATGTTCTCTCCTGCCGTTTTCTGAAGCTTAAATTCTATAACCATTTGAAAATCTGCATTTAATGTACTCTCCATTTATTTACCTCCTCCTTTACTGGAAAACTAGGTTATTTACGATTTTCACTGTAAATAATGCTTTGAACTCCCTTAGTGCAGCTAAATTATTCCCTGTCTGAGATGAGTTGATTTCCCCGAAGTAGAATTGCTGGGTTAATGGTTTTTAAAAATTGTATGTAGTTTGGGGGCTGAAGATTTTTCTGTTTTTTTGTGAGGAAGATCAGCCCTGAGCTAACATCCGTGCTAATCCTCCTCTTTTTGCTGAGGAAGACTGGCTCTGAGCTAACATCTATTGCCAGTCCTCCTCCATTTTTTTCCCAAAGCCCCAGTAGATAGTTGTATGTCATAGTTGCACATCCCTCTAGTTGCTGTATGTGGGACTCGGCCTCGGCATGGCCGGAGAAGCGGTGCGTCGGTGCGCGCCAGGGATCCGAACCTGGGCCGCCAGTAGCGGAGCGCGTGCACTTAACTGCTGAGCCACGGGGCCGGCCCGAGGGGGCTGAAGATTTTAAAAGCTCCTGGTACATACTCCCAAATTGCTTTTTGAACGGGTGAAAACCAGTAACAGCCATCGATAAGAAGCTCTTTTATAAAGATTTGTCTAATCGCACAGTTGACAACTTTTAACAACACTTCATTAGAGAGGATGACACTTAAAGAAAAAGAATGTTTTTCTTAGTGTTACCATGAGTGTTATTAAGTAAGACTTTTCATTTTCAGGGTTAACTTGTGTGACTTTAATATTGAAATTATATGTTAAAATTCAGTGAATACCTGAATTGTAGAAAGTCATGTTTAGGCTGCATAATATCAATAGAAAAATAAACAAGATAAAATATTTTTTTAAAATACAAGAAAATGTAACTGAAAAGGCTGCATAATATCAATACAAAAATAAACAAGATAAAATATTTTTTTAAAATACAAGAAAATGTAACTGAAAAGGCACTGGTCTTAACTCTCGTAACATAATTCTAAACCAGCTTTTGAAGTAGCTTCTAAAGAAGGTGATTTTATATTTACAGAAGTCTTAATTTAGCTCAGGGTATAAACATGCTAAAGCCGCTTGTTTAATAGTGGTGTCACACGGACACTGGTTTAAATTGCACTCGAAAGTCTGTGAACAACGTTTAAGGATTCTGTATGAACCTAAATAAATTATAACTAAACTAATCTTGATAGCAGCAATAAAAGGGGCATTGCAGAAGGACACAAACAGTGTGATTCACTGTAAGTAAAGTTTTAGAGTGCAGAAGAACAGCATGGTTTAGGGGTTCGTGCATGGGTAGTAAAAGTCTAAAGCTGGTCAGGTGAATTCTTTTTAATGGTTATTTCTTAGGGGAGAATGAGAGAATTATTGTACAGTGAGTTTAAACTGTGTTTGTAACATTTCTTTTTCTTAACCTGGGTGATCTAAACAAGAGTGTTAATTACCCGCCATTTTGTGGATCTGATGTATAAAATTTGAATGGTGTGGCAGGTGTGTAGGCCATGGTAATAAGGTAAAAAGTCACTAAATAGAATGCTTGGATTTTATTTGAATAGGATGAAGTCTGGAGAAATTCACAAAGTGTTATTAGCTTTAGACAGTTTATGATTAACTTTTTCCTATTCATACTTCTGAATATTGTAATAATGGGTCTGTAAGCCCTGTGGACAAGGTAGCTTATAAATGAGTTTCTTAAAATTATTTTTGAAAGGGTAGCGTTTACTGTGGAATGTGGGAACTAAGTTGCAAAATCAGTAAAATTTGGGGCTTAACTTCTTGCTAACAGCAGCAGTTCTCACCCCTTACCCTCTGTGACTTACATTCTCCCTTGGGGGCCGATGGAGCGAGTCTCTGCATTGGGATTACATGTGTTGCTTCCTCCACCTCTAGCACTTTCTCTTTTCTAGATCTTCTAACAAGCCTCAGTGACCAGTTTTCCTAAATGTTTCCTTCTTCAGGCCCATTTTCCTGTGCTTAGCATTAGATAAAGCTCTCTTTAAGAGGCCAAGTTTATGCCTCCTCTCTTTCCCTGCCCCCATTCGGAGCTTTTCTTAAGCCACCTCAGCCTTGCCTAGCCATTCATTGTTCTTTGGGGGTCCTGTGGGTAACACATGCACTTGTCTTTGTGGATGTCCTTTGAGATCACTGCCCTAGTTAACCTTGAGGCACTACATTTCTCAGGTCACCTTTGTTTATAAACTTGAATTGCACCGTGAATCTCACTGTCTGCTTGGTTTCACTGCTTGTTATGTGTTAATTTGTGTTTACTCTTATCATTTTCTTTTATATCACTACTCAAATGTATTGACCCCCTTTTTTGCCTCGCATCTTAAAAATACACCATACTAATTCTGTAGTTTTTGTGTTGTGGGTTGCTTTTCTCTTTCCTCTGCATGCATTTCTATCTTACCATCTGTCAGGATTCCTTGTTTTTATTTCTCGCAGAATCCCCATTCCCCTGTCCCCCTCAAATATAGCATTGATTAATTTCATAGAACCTCAGTAAAATTTTTAAAAAGTTTGTATAATTCATATGTTTTCAGTAAGTGCTTATTAATTGATAATCAAAAAATTCTAAACTGTCAAGGCTAATCTTATTTCCATTTTCAGGAGAGCATTTTGGTTATCTCTAGTAGCAAGATGATGTCTATTTGTGTTAGTAATTTTCTGTTAAAATTATATTTTACAATTAATATTCTGCCAATTAACGTTTATTCAGATTTGACTTGGACTCATCTTTTCTAAACTTTTTTTGAGACATCAAGCTTAAAGAAAAGTAAAAGAATTCTTAAATCACTTGTGGCCCAGAATCACCAGCTGTTAAATTTTGCCTCACGTGGTATAACATTCTCTCTGTCTATGTGTTACAAATAAATGTTAGAATAATCCATTTTTGTTTTTATTTCTCAATTACATTGGAGAAGGCAACCCGGACTCCATGGACTACAACCACCTAAGTGTGAAACCATCATAACCATTCAGATGGTGGCAGCAGGGAGATTGTCTAACAGAACTTTAAATAAAATGCTCTATTAGAACTGCTCTCTGTCCAAGTTGGAAACGCACATTAATGACCCTGAGTTTTGTATTTGTATGTACAGTGTTTTTTGTCAACAGTCTGGTTATTTATTCCCTAATGTATTCTAGCTTTAGTTGAATTAAACAAGTAAGTAAAACTGCTGCTTAGATGGACTATCCTTTGCTCTGTAGATAAGCTCTGGTATTATAACGTCTTGGTGAGAAGTTTTGTTCCTGATGGAGTAATATGTTATAAGGCGTTAACCCATTTTGCTTTATTGCAGCTTTCCTGTGAAAAAAATAAACATGAATAAAGATGTTACAAAACGCATTTCTTTGTTTTTAGAAGACCCATTTGAGGACTTTTTTGGTAGTAGAAGGGGCCCCCGAGGAAGCAGGAACCGAGGCACAGGGTCATTTTTCTCTGCCTTCAGTGGATTTCCACCTTTTGGAGGAGGATTTTCTTCTTTTGATACAGGTATTAAATGCTTAGATTTAATCTCTGATACCTGAACAGAAATGAGTGCTGATAAATAGAACAGTCTTTCAATTAGAGCAGTTTGGAATGTGTGTATTCCTTTTGGTAGAGCAGCTGTGTAGGTTTGCCAGTATTTTTTATGTGTGCAAATTTGTGCTTAGTAACCTACATTTTTTTCTGATCTTCCCAAGAATGTTATACTCAAAAATCCCCTTCTCATCTTACTATTAGAGGCCAACGTTTAATGAAATTCCTGATTAAAGGAGTAATGTGTTTTTGGGTAAATAGGAAATAACTCACTTAGACAATCTCACTAAATGGTTTTTTAATCTAAGCTCCTTAGCAGTTAAAAAACACACACAAACAAGTAGTATCCTAGGAGAGTTCCAGTTGATGGGATCAGAGGTGGAGCTTTACACGGGCCCATGATCTGTGTGTGGCCATGGCCACAGAGTCCACTAGTGAAGTGTGATGTCTTGTGATTGCACTGCCATACACGGTGTTATGGTTAACTCGTGATGTGCACATGGCAGGATGTAAGTGTGTTTTACCGGGAGAATTAGAATATTATCTTTTCTGTGAAGCTCATCTTATCAGAGAAACTGTTGTTTTTTCTTATTTTCTCATTTTTACTTTAAAGACTTGGCAGTAAGAATTGCAGTGCTTGTTACTGCACATACAGGCTGCCCTGCTAATACAGCTCAGAGTGTTCTTCCCTTCAAATACTGGGCTAGGAACATCTAGGTCAATCGACTGGTTGGATTCTAATACAAAGGGCAGTTTTAGATGTACTTTTCTCCAGCAAATCCTCTCATTAGATTCTGTGTAATATACTAAAAGTTAGGGGAGAGTAAAAGCAAGCTGGTTAAAAATATCAACAAAACTACTTCATTTAAGAAATGTGTGGCTGACATGTGAGGTAGGTGTGTGGCTCCAGGCTCGCTCTAGACCTATGCTGTCCTGTATGGTAGCCACCAGCTACCTGGAGCTGTTGAGCACTGGAGATGTGGCCAGTCCACATTGAGGTGTGTTCTGAGTGTGACATATACACTGGATTTCATAGACTGAATATGAAAGACAATGTAAAATATCTAAAATTTTTTATGTTGCATATTGAAATGATATCTTAGATATTCTGGATTAAATAAAATATGTTAAGATTAATTTTATAAATTTCTTTTTATTTTCTAATGGGGCCATAGAAAATTTAAAATGATATATTTGGCTCACATTCTATTTATTTTGGACCTCGCTGGTTCTAGGCAATATTAGAGCCTAGATGATTGAGTCATTTTTAGAGAGTATGGAGTATTTGTTTTTTTTATAATTTTATTTATTTATTTTCCCCCAAAGCCCCAGTAGATAGTTGTATGTCATAGTTGCACATCCTTCTAGTTGCTGTATGTGGGACACAGCCTCAGCATGGCCAGAGAAGCGGTGAGTTGGTGCGCGCCCGGGATCCGAACCC